TTCGGCAGCAGCAGGCCGGCTCTTATTTGCTTATCTTTAAACGTTAATATCTCCTTAACTATTGTTGACACTGCAAAATGGTACAGGACTTTTCGACTCAGTGTAGTCTGTTCTACCCACGCACGAAATATTTTGCGGTCGTTACCGGACACCCTGTATATTAATATTATCCCCGTATACAGCCGCTATTCGGCGAGACCGTTCCTGACATCATCATAAGTTTCGCCTAACCACTTACAAAATAAACACAATAAAAGATGAAAAGAACACTTCGCACTCATTTCCATACGTTGAGACAAAAAGAACGATAACAATGTAGACACATGACAGCACTCTGATTGATTCACTCTTACGTTTTACGCAGTCGTAATTGTGAAAGATAAAATTGAACCATCTTTCACAACACACTTTATAACCGAGAGTAGCAGGTTAAAACTTCGCTTTACAACATTTCACAACCATTTACAACTACGTTTACGCAATTGTAGATCGGACTTAACATGCTATAATTTACGTTATGAATACTATAGAATTTTAGAGATAAAAGCGCGCTTTTATCGATAAAAGCGCGTTCTGAATACGGACCATAGAGAATTGACTGAGCGATCCGTTTCTAAGTAGTATTCAAATGTGGTCGACAATGGCTATGTTTACATCGTGCATTTAGGCCGCGGCCTATACAATAGATGTCCTTGTTTATCCTATATATTAAACAAAGACACCTATCGTATAGGTCGCGAATTGAGCGCACGGTGTAAACGTAGCCAATAATGAGAGAAGGGGACTGTTCTCGCCGATAACGTAGTTGAGAGGACCGCCGGTAAGTGTGGCGTAGTAGCAGAAAAGGCGAGCTAGCAGATCTCGGCAGGATAGTTTTTGCGCCTGTGTTTTTGTTATACACTTGTGAAAGTAAAAGCGAAATAAGCATATAAAGCGATTCAAGAAATCATTAATACTTTCAAGTACAATTAACATTCTGGCGCCCAACGTACAGCTCGTGAACCGACTGAGAGAGAGGGTATTCAAAGGCACAAACGACACGAGGCATAACCTCAATCTGGTTAAAGGTACGCATATTAATTAGAATCGAATTTAAGGATGACAGAGCTAGTGCGAAGCAGAAGCGTGCTAGAGCAAAAGGTAGCGTAACAAGAATGAGAAACAAGTTGCAAGAAGGAGAAAACATATCAAAATACGAAGCTGAAGCCCGAGCGATCATATTAGAAGAACAATGGAAAGCATTTGAAGAAGTTCAGTCGGAAATTGAGATGAAAATGGAACCATCAGAAAGCAAAACGAAGAAAGATATAGAAAAAGAGAATCAGATAGAGCGAAAAATCGTGGAAGAAATATACTATCAAGCAGCAGCAAAGTTAAGAGAAATCATCGAGAAGGCTCAAATTCAAAGCGGACAAGAGCAGCAATTAACAATAGAAGGAACAAATAGAGAGAGAGAGTAATTGGAAGACAAGATATAAAACTGCCGGTGTTAAAAATATCCGAATTCAAAGGAGACTACGAACAGTGGTTAACTTTCAAGGATTTGTTCAAATCTATGTTTCATGATAATCAGAAACTATTAAAAGTACAGAAATTTCAATATTTGAAAAGTTCATTGCAGGGAGAAGCGTTGCAAATAATAGGATTTGAGATCGCAGCTGAGAATTATGAACCAGCGTGGAAATTGTTGATAAGCACATACGAGAATAAGAGGCTTTTAGTGAGTACGCACATGAATAAGCTATTAAAGATGTCTGTGGTAGAAAAAGGCAAGTACGCAGCAATCAAACAATTAATTATACACGTAAGGACACATTTAAAGGCTCTTAAAGTTTTAGGATTACCAGTGGAGTATTGGGATGAATTATTGATACATTTAATAAAGGAGAAATTAGATTACATTACGCAGAAAAGCTGGGAAGAGAAGAAACAAGTCTGAAAGCAGAAGAGGAAAGACCTACTTTGGAAAGTTTTCTTCGATTTCTGTCAGAGTATTCACGTACAATGGAATTAATTGATAAGGGCAGATCACATCAAGACACAAGTAAGCAGAGTATAGCACACACTAAAACAAATAAAGCAGAAAAGAGAGTTAACGTTGCCACTGCGGCGAAGGAAGAGTGTGACATACTCGTATGTATGTTCAGGACAACACCGTCTGTTTAAGTGTGGCGAATTCATCAAATTGTCAGTGCCAGCACGGACTGATAAAGCAGATGAAATTATGCATAAATTGTCTTGGAAAGAATCATTTCGCGAAAGACTGCTATGCAGGAACATGCAAAAAGTGCGGAGGGAAACATAATTCTTTACTGCATAAAGGAGAAGTAAATAGCAAAGCAGAAGAGCCTTCGAGTTCAAGCAAGGACAACGGTCACAGCGACTGTGCAAGCTGAGCAAAGCAGCAGCTCGGAAATACAAGAAGAATTAAACGTACGTGTAGCTCGGAAAGGTCAATCTCAAATAATATTATCCACGGCACAAGTGCTGATCGAGGATGCAAAAGGAGAGAGGCATTTGTGTCGGGCATTATTGGATCCAGGATCGCAAATTAATGTGATCACGAAAGCAATAATCGATAAAATGGGTCATAAAGCGATTAAAACGAGTCAATCAGCGGAATCAACAATGAGAGAGCTAATTACACAGAAATGGCAAGAATACGTATTCGATCGTTACACACAAAGTTTGAAACAAAACTTGAATGCGTTATTATGCCATCTATTACGGAACCATTGCCGCAAGTAAAGATCGACATACGATCCATACCGATAACAAAAACGATGAAATTAGCAGACTCCGAATTCCATGAACCCAATAACATTGATCTGCTCATAGGAGCCGGCCTATTTTGACGTATATTTTGCAAAGAATCAACACTCCCGCAAATAGGAGTACCACGGTTGCAAAAAACTCTACTAGGATGGATCGTAGGAGGTGAACTCAGACTAAAAAGACATTCCAAAGGAACAAAGGTATGTGGCCTGCTAACAGATGTTGCTCTGAAAGAACAATTAGAACGATTCTAGAAGTTAGAAGAAATACCAGAAGTAAGACAGTTAACAAACGAAGAGAAAGAATATGAAGAGCATTTTGCAAAAACTGTAACTAGAACACCAACAGGCAGATTCGTGGTAAGTTTGCCAAAGAAAGCGAATGTTCGTCTCGAAGGAACAAGCTAAGAGAAGATTACTCGCGTTAGAAAGAAGATTCAAAATAGATAAAGGATGCAAAGAAGAATATGTTAAATTTATGAACGACTATGAGAACGAAGAACACATGTCACTAATTTCAGAAAAGGAAAGCCCAACGGAAGTATGTTGGCTACCGCATCAAGCAGTGTATCGAACAGATAGTTTGACTACAAAGATCAAAGTGGTCTTTGATGCATCATCGAAGACTTCCAATGGCAATACGTTGAATGATAAATTAAGGATCGGACCGAATTTGCAGAATGACTTGTTCGATATCCTTATCAGATTTAGAGCACATCAGTTCGTTTTTAGTGCGGATATAGAAGCTATGTACCGCCAAATTCAAGTAAAGGAAGAAGATCGCCATCTTCAGAGAATTTTATGGAGAGAAGAACCGGAACAAAATCTTAAGGCATATGTTTTAAACACGGTGACATACGGAACGGCGTCAGCACCCTTTCTAGCCATTAAATGCCTACGAGAATTAGCACAGCAAGAAGTAACGTCACCAGAAGCGGCAAACGTAGTAAGGAACGACTTTTATATGGATGACGTGTTATCCGGAGCGTCTACCAAAGAGGAAGCAACCAAATTACGCGAGGAGGTAACAGAATTACTGAAGAAGGGTCAGTTCCATCTAAGGAAGTGGCGAACGAACAGCACTAGAATATTAAGCGATATAGGCGGAGAAGAAGATAACGATAGGTTTTTGAAATTAGAAAAGAAAGGAGCTTTAAAAGTGCTCGGGATATTGTGGGAGGCCACAACAGACACTTCAATATTCTATTGATACTAATGATCCAGAGATCATCACGCGAAAAAGCATAGTATCTCATGTAGCGCAAATATTTGACCCGTTAGGTCTACTAGGACCGGTCTTAATTCAAGGCATTATGCAGCAAACATGGCAAATCCCAGTAGGATGGGACGATCCGTCCAAGATTTGCCCAAGAAGATGGAAGACTCCTGGCAGGAATATTACCACTCGCTACAAGAAGTCAACGGTTTCACAGTACCACGGAACTTAAATCCAGGAAACTTGTCGTAAAACTGATATAGCTGGGTTTGGAGACGCTTCCGAGAAAGTATATGGAGCTTATCTGTACGCAATATCAGAGAATGCTGAGGGCAATCGACAATCAATTTTGATCTGCTCCAAAAGTAAGATAGCACCTCTAAAGACGATCTCAATACCTATATTAGAGTTGAATGCAGCTCTCATGCTTTCTAAAGTGACTGCTACAGTGAAGCGAGCATTTGGTGATAGGATCAAACAGATTCATCTATGGAGCGACTTTAGTATCGTGCTTCATCAAATTAGAACCAGTCCAAATCTATTAAAGACTTACGTAGCGAACCGTGTGGCAAAAATCCAGGATTTATCAAAAAGCGCAGATTGGCATCACGTACCATCTTCAGACAACCCAGCTGACCTTTTAACACGAGGTTCAACGGTATCGGAGTGGAAGAGCAATTCTCTCTGGTGGCATGGGTCGCGATGGATTATGGATGAAAACGAATGGCCAAAACAGGCGCCTTTAACACAAAGGCCAGAGCAGCTAGAGATCAAGAAGACAGTGGCAGTAATACAGGCTCCGTCAGAGAATAACTTCTTAAGAAGATACTCGACTTACGACAAGTTATTAAGTATCACCGCTTATTGCTTGCGTTTTAAGAAGAATTGTAAACAATCAAGCAAAAGAGTGACTGGACCACTCACAGTAAGCGAGCTGAATCAAGCCGAGATTACTATCCTTAAATTAGTACAATCTGAGGCGTTTACCGCGGAGATATCAGCAATTGTTCGATCTCCGGAAGTAGTAAGCTGATTGCATTTCGCCCGTTCTTGGATCAAGTTGGTATCTTTCGAGTGGGAGGGAAATTACGCCACGCGGACTTATCAGAAGATCAAAAACACTCAACGATATTACCGTCAAAACATCCCGTCACCACATTAATCATTCGGCGGGAGCATGAGCGACTACATCACAGCGGTTTGAACCAACTGCTATATCTCTTAAGGCAGCGATTTTGGATAATGCAAGGACGAAGAGAGATCAAGAAAGTAATAAAACATTGCGTGAGATGTTTTCACCTCAAACCGGAAAGCAGAGACATACTAATGGGCGATTTACCGAAAGAAAGAGTTTGCGGAAATATCCGAGCATTCGTCAACACGGGAACCGACTACGCTGGACCTTTTTCGATTCGAGAAGGACGCCGAAGAGGTCGACCCATTACTAGGAAGGCGTGGATAGTCATCTTCATATGCTGTGCGACCAAAGCTGTACACCTAGAGCTCGTGTCAGAGCTCACAACGGAAGCATTTTTAACGGCCTTACGGCGTTTCGTCGCGAGAAGAGGGATTTGCAAACAAATTCTATCAGATAATGGAACAAATTACATGGGAGCGGAAAGACATCTTAGGGAAGTATATGAGTTTCTTCAAAAAGAACGAGACACCATTACCCAACATCTAGCCAGCCAACGCATTCAATGGCAGTTCATGCCACCGAAATCCCCCAATTTCGGAGGGCTATGGGAAGCAGCAGTGAAGGTGGTCAAGAAGCATTTCTATAGGGTAACTCAGAATCAAATCTTAACTTTCGAGGAATTTTACTCGATTTTGACCGAAATCGAAGCCATCATGAATTCTCGACCTTTATGCCCGATGTCAGAAGATCCTCAAGACTTGACCGTTTTAACGCCAGCACATTTCTTGATCGGAGATTCATTGATTTTACCAGCGGAAGAAGATTTTTCAGGTACACCCGAGAACCGTCTTTCCAGGTTGTAACTTCTACAGAGGATGAGGCAGAGTCTCTGGGCACGATGGCACACGGAATATCTACAAGAACTACAGCGCAGACATAAATGGGTTCGTCCTTCGGAAAATCTAAAATCCGGGATGCTAGTTTTGTTGAGATAAAAAGATCTGCCACCCTTGCGATGGGTAACAGCCCGTATAACCGAAATTCATTACGGGAATGATGATATAGCCCGAGTAGTTACAGTTAAGACGTCAAAAGGTTTCTTAAAAAGAGCCGCTAGAGAAGTTTGCCCTCTTCCCATTTACGATAACGAGTTGTAGTAAGGCCGGCTGTTTAAAGATTTGATTGATCTCTTGTATTAACTATTATCCATTCAATATTATTATTATAAATCATTGCGCTATATTTATGTTATTTAGTTACCGAACTCGTAAGGCTATGACTAAGGCTACCCGCGAAGTTGCTTAAGCATTAGCGATTGTAATTTTTTTTTTTTGAAAGCCTAGTCTTTCAAGGAGGCCGGGATGTTCTCGCCGATAACGTAGTTGAGAGGATCGCCGGTAAGTGTGGCGTAGTAGCAGCAAAGGCGAGCTAGCAGATCTCGGCAGGATAGTTTTTGCCCCTGTGTTTTTATTATACACTTGTGAAAATAAAGGCGAAATAAGCATATAAAGCGATTCAAGAAATCATTAATTCCTCTTCCTTCAAGTACAATTAGCAGGGACCGTGGAAGACGGCCAGTTTCCCTCTCATTCTCTCCCATTACACCGTTGAATGGAAAGAGATAGAGATGGCCGTCTTCCACGATCCCTCTCTCTTACTTTTATCGACCATTTTGACACACGGATCGCGTAGTTCATACTCTATGTCTTTAGATCCCTCCGATGCCTTGGATTCATCATCTTGTCCTTGTTTAACGTTAATGATAAACAAAAACAAGATGATGAATCCAAGGTTTTAGAGGCATCCGAGCGACGTTTTTGAACGCAGCTAAAGGGTCGATATTCGGCAGACGGTTAAGAGAGCACGCTACTTTGATATGAGAGCGAATAAAACGAGCCCGTACAGCACAAAAATATTGCAGCAACATTGCAGAAAGATTTCATTGCAAGATTGCAACATTGCACAGATATTGTGAAATATTGCTGCAATATTTCAGCAATATTGTAGCAACGTTAAAATGTCCGTTTCAGAAATATTGATATGTAATGTTGCAGCAATATTACAATATAATATACATATATGCAATATTACGTTTTGCACACATTTGAAGAATACTTACTGCATATTACAGAAACATTAATATTGTAAGTAGTAATATTGCAACGTTATTGCAATATTTGTTGCATATAATATAAAGATATAATAATATAAAGACATAATGTCGTATTTTATTTGCATCCGTTGTATTATGTTACATTTAATTCCTATTTTTAATTTTTTTTCTTTAATATATCAATTGTACAGTATAAAATCTTACAATAAAT